GGGCACACCTCTGGCCGTACCTAACAGCGGACCACGGGCACACCTCTGGCCGTACCTAACAGTGGACCACGGGCACACCTCTGGCCGTACCTAACAGCATGACCACGGGCACACCTCTGGCCGTACCTAACAGCGGACCACGGGCACACCTCGGGCCACATTAGGTTATTGGCACAACTCAGCCCACACTAGATCATCCATTATACGGTATTGATATACCCGACCACAAATATATATATTTATAAATGTTACATTGAATCTATGTTACCCGTCTTCCTGGGATAAACTAAGAGTGCATCCCTTTGCAGGAGAAAATGCTGCGCCAGGATCCCTTCAGTGCTGGTTACGGATCCAATTAAAGGGAATGTCTACACCAATCCTCTGGTACTGCAGAGTTAATGGCAGCGGCACTGATGGCAACCCACAGCAGCATTTTGTCCAGTAAAATAAATATTAGATCTCATGTATACAGCACGGTGACTACGTGCTCAGCACCCTTGCCTTGCAGCACTGCTGTCCACAGTTCAATGCCCCCTTACATTGGGCAGACATTGGCAAGGAAGTTCAGTTCATCAGTCACTCACAACCTTTATTTTATGAGCAGACTGCCCACAAAGAAGTCCGCCATCTTACCGTGTAGCTCTGTATCTGGACCCGACAAGTCATACTGTTTGCATGGAGTTTGAATGCTCTCCCCATGAGCACACGGGATTGGAAAAATGTATTAATTTACATTTTTGGAGAGAGCAGGAAAAGGGTCAAAACCCCTGTCGGGTTATTTTCTACTGTCTGTGTCCCAGTGGGGTGATTTCCTTTCACTTCCTGTTCTGAAGACACAACAGGAAGTGAAAGGAAATCTCTACAACGTGAGAACTTAGGAAGGTTTACCATCATCTCCTGCTCTGGGGCTAACATTTTAGACTTCCCATCACTTTCAGTCCCGGTGATGATGGTCACCGGGACAAATAGAGTGAATCTCATCAGCGGACGCAGACAAAGATAAAAAACCCGACAGGGGATCTCCCCCTCCAATACACTGTGACTGCCTGTATCATGTGTGGCTGGTCAAGACATCCAAGTGTGATCTCCTCTGGACAGGGGGCTGATGTCCTCCATAAAGCACTGCTACATAAGTACACATACATGGGCCCTGCTCTGTACAGATGTCATTCTCCAGTTCACCACTAGGTGGTCTCTCACCATAGGAAGATCTTTCAGGATCTGGATGCCGTCACCGGGACCCATGTGTGCTATGTGGTTGAAGTTTGTGGGGTTGGAAATCAGTTTGTTTCTCATCTCTGGGTCTCGTAACATCTCCCTTGAGGACGAGGAAAGACAGAAGATGAATCAAAGTCGTCAACGTGACCGAGATAACAAAAAATGTGCCACAAAAGCCCATGAGCTTCATTTTTCTAGCACTGCACAGTTCAAACTTTAATCATAGTTAGTTACTCCAATGACTGGCCCGAGATCCGGCTGGTTATATGGGAGTTTGGTGGAATCCGATTAACATTTGTGACAAATCCAAAAGAAAGAAGCTGACAGAACACTCAAGTCTGCCTGGGACCTCCTCTACTGATGCGTTTTACCCAAAAATGGCCTTGATTGTAGAGACAGATGGCAGGTCTCCAACATTAACCACTTAAGTACCGGCCTGTGTATATACGCCACTTCTCAGCCCTGAGATAGTTTGACAATTACTCGGTCATACAACAATGTAACCCAAATAAAAGAAGCCAACAGCACGCCATAAAAAAAGATGCCTGCGACCTGCTCTACTGACACGTTTCACCCAAACCTGGGCCTAATTTTAGAGACAGATGGCAGGTCTCTAATTTTAACAACTTGAGTACCAGTCTGTACGCACACCTTTATTATGAGGCCAGTTATTAGCTCTGAGATAGTTTGACTGACAATTACTCGGTCATGCAACACTGTACCCAAAATTGATACCATATTTTTGAGACAGATGGAGCTTTCTTTTGGTGGTATTTAGTTACTTATTTAGGCCAAAAATGTGAGTTTGCTTAAATTTACCCACTTTAAACCCCCCACCCCCCATCTTCACCTTCGATCTGCAGTGATCTTCTTTCCTGCTGCATTTACAAACATTCAGCCCATTCAGGTCTTTCTCCATTAGGAATGGGGCGAGTGTTTAAGAACAATACTGCAGTGTGTATACTTTTGATGGCTGCGATTGGTTCACAGAGATCTCAAGGTATAGAACCATTCTAATTGGCTCTGTACATCATGCCTGTGATCTGAGCTGTCTAAGGGCATCTCAGATCACAGCCACTTATGGGCGTCTGATCGCGTGTTTGTGTTTTTTTTTTGGGGGGGGGTATGTAGCCAGCCCTTTAAGAGGTACCTAATGCCAGAGGCTTCCGATCATGTGATCACTGTGGCTGGCTGTCACACGGTTGAAAGCTTGACCCCATCGACTCCCGATTGTAAAAATGACATGGGGCGGTCAGTGAAAGCTCTGCCACAGTGCCGGGGGGCACTGGGTGAGAATACCCCAGCACAAATCAGCGGCCTCAGCTGGATGCATATATTGGGCAGCATTTCTATATTCTGAGCATGGTATTAAAGCCCACCCCTGTGCTGCCACATTTACGCCTACAGCCTGGGGGGAAAAGGGTTAAAAAGAGGGCTTTGGAAAACGCAATATTATTTTTGGGTGTTTGGAGTGAAATGCATCATTAGAGGAGGTCCTAGGTGGGGCTTTGCATAGCTTGTCAGGAACAATAAAGCTTTAGTTGTTTGTTTTCATGCTGTGCCGTCTGCTTCCTTATTTTGGATCTGCAGACAGTTCAGTGCGGCCAGTTAAGCAGATGACGCAACATCTAGGGGCTTGGGAGCGGCGGATATCCCTTTATTTCTAGGTTACAATCTCTGGTCGGACCCGTCTGTGCCCCCATTGGGGGAACTCATCCTCACCAATTATTCCAGTAACAAAAATCATGACAGAGGCTACCGACCTTCCCCAGCTCTGTCCAAAACAAAATAGTTTTGGCGAGAGTTCTCTGAAAGTGAATCTAAGGCCAAAATGTTTTGTAGTTCTGGATGGACCCCTGTAAGGTGTTTATTGCTGACTGGGAGACTCCCCCTCTCTATACGGGTGACCTCAGTTTGAAAATGTAAGTGGTCACCTGAACAGAAAGAGGGGAAATCTTCCAATGGGGACACTTGTTCTGGGGGCAAGGGTGATTAACTTTACATTGGAGAGATCCTGTTGTGTCTTCAGGACAGGAAGTGAAGGGAAATCGCTGGAATGGGACACAGATGGCAAAAAAAAGAAAAATGAAAGTGGGTTTAACCCTTCCCTACTACATCCAGCATGAAATGTATGGAAGGGAAGTGAGTGAGGCGAGTCACATGCTCCTCCATACCTGGAAGTATGGGTTTTTCCTTCACTCCCGGTGGCTTAACAGTGAGGAGGGAGAGCAATGGAAGTGTAAGGATGTGCTACTGGGAAGGGGGAGGGGATTAAAGTGGACCTGTTGTTTTGCACCGCATGGGCAAAGTACCGGTCTGCTTTAAACTATGGCTGTCTGTGGCAGGACCCAGATATCGGCCCTGAGAGGACCCCCAGTGATGTCGCTTCTATATTCTACAACTACAGAATGTTCTCGGCCTGGACACCGGCTCCGTTACCTCCTCTGCTGCATCCTCTCCTCCTCCGGGACGCGGAAGGAGTACCTCCGTTTATTGTTGATGTTCCTCACCATTTGCTTCCGGCTGTTGTCTGACGTCTCAGGAACCACCAACTCGTCCCCTTCTGGGAACACAAAGGATCAGTCAAGTCAGTGTTGTCACCTACCGCTCCTGATTAACCCCTTTATGTTTGTAATACTCCCATTTGATGAACCCCTTCATGACTGTACTACTCCCATCCCATGAACGCCTTCATGACTATACTACTCCCATCCCAGGAACCCCTTCATGACTATACTACTCCCATCCCAGGAACCCCTTCATGACTATACTACTCCCATCCCAGGAACCCCTTCATGACTATACTACTCCCATCCCAGGAACCCCTTCATGACTATACTACTCCCATCCCAGGAACCCCTTCATGACTATACTACTCCCATCCCAGGAACCCCTTCATGACTATACTACTCCCATCCCAGGAACCCCTTCATGACTATACTACTCCCATCCCAGGAACCCCTTCATGACTATACTACTCCCATCCCAGGAACCCCTTCATGACTATACTACTCCCATCCCAGGAACCCCTTCATGACTATACTACTCCCATCCCAGGAACCCCTTCATGACTATACTACTCCCATCCCAGGAACCCCTTCATGACTATACTACTCCCATCCCAGGAACCCCTTCATGACTATACTACTCCCATCCCAGGAACCCCTTCATGACTATACTACTCCCATCCCAGGAACCCCTTCATGACTATACTACTCCCATCCCAGGAACCCCTTCATGACTATACTACTCCCATCCCAGGAACCCCTTCATGACTATACTACTCCCATCCCAGGAACCCCTTCATGACTATACTACTCCCATCCCAGGAACCCCTTCATGACTATACTACTCCCATCCCAGGAACCCCTTCATGACTATACTACTCCCATCCCAGGAACCCCTTCATGACTATACTACTCCCATCCCAGGAACCCCTTCATGACTATACTACTCCCATCCCAGGAACCCCTTCATGACTATACTACTCCCATCCCAGGAACCCCTTCATGACTATACTACTCCCATCCCAGGAACCCCTTCATGACTATACTACTCCCATCCCAGGAACCCCTTCATGACTATACTACTCCCATCCCAGGAACCCCTTCATGACTATACTACTCCCATCCCAGGAACCCCTTCATGACTATACTACTCCCATCCCAGGAACCCCTTCATGACTATACTACTCCCATCCCAGGAACCCCTTCATGACTATACTACTCCCATCCCAGGAACCCCTTCATGACTATACTACTCCCATCCCAGGAACCCCTTCATGACTATACTACTCCCATCCCAGGAACCCCTTCATGACTATACTACTCCCATCCCAGGAACCCCTTCATGACTGTACTACTCCCATCCCACGAACCCTTTCATGACTGTACTACTCCCATCCTATGAACCCCTTCATGACTGTACTACTCCCATCCCATTAACGCCTTCATGACTGTACTACTATCATCCCATTAACGCCTTCATGACTGTACTACTCCCATCCCATGAACCCCTTCATGACTGTACTACTCCCATCCCATTAACGCCTTCATGACTGTACTACTATCATCCCATTAACGCCTTCATGACTGTACTACTCCCATCCCATGAACCCCTTCATGACTGTACTACTCCCATCCCATGAACCCCTTCATGACTGTACTACTCCCATCCCACGAATCCCTTCATGACTGTACTACTACCATCCCATTAACGCCTTCATGACTGTACTACTACCATCCCATGAACTCCTTCATGACTATACTACGCGTATTAAATTAACCCCTTCATGACTATGCATGACTACCCCCGGTACTACTGATTAACTTATTTATGACTGTACTACCCTTTCAACTACATCAATCCTTTTTAATCCTTCATGATTGTTCTACACCCGTATTACTGGCATCTGATTAACGCCTTCATAATCATGCTACCCCATGCACTTTCACAGATGAGCCTGAAATGATCTCGCTGAACAGACTTACCGGCCGTTTTATTTTTGAAATAGATTAGCCGCACAGTTTCCAATCCCAGAAGATTGAGAGAGCCTTCTGTGTTTAACGGACGCACCTAAAAAAAGAGAATAAGTCCCTCAATAAAAGCGAGGATCGAGTTATATCGCAGTAGTAAAGCTGGACAAGACTGCTCTTCCATTGAATGGAGTATAGGTCCATTAGAATGATGCTGGACGGGTGCGGAGAGATCTACTCCCGGCAACAAGGAACATCAATCTGAAAACTGCTCATTTTCTCCACAAGTCCAGAGACGACCTTAAAGCTGAACTCCCAGCAAGTAAAAAATCAATGCAGCTCTGTACTCGTTAATACTTTATTAAATGCAAGCAGTGCAGCCTCCAGAAGATCCTGCACAGCAGAGCTCAGGCTGGGAGAGGAGAAGCAGCACAAGGAGCTAATCAGTTGTACTGCACTGCAAGGAACATGGCGATAGGAGGAGAAAGCAGAGTGACAAATCAGGCATCAGTCTGTTGCATCTCCTTTTACTGTCCAGTCACAGGCTGGAGGAAGGACAAGGCCTGCAAGTGTTACAGGACCGCAGCAGAAAACAAATCAGGTCTCCTGCACTGCTAGAGAGGGCTCTGTGCTAATAAGAGACATGCTGATATAAGTAGAGAACAGAGTGACAGGGGAATCAACTCATGTCTGCTGCTTCTCCTTTTACTGTCCAGTCACAGGCTGGGGGAGGGACAAGACCTGTAAGTCTTACTTAACTGCAGCATGAAAAAATCAGGTCTCTTTTCCCGCCAGAGAGGACTGTGTGGTATGGCAGAACTGTGTAAGCCTCGGGACTGGATGGACAGAGATACAAATCTTTAGGCAGGTACAACAGCTCCTCTATATGTGTTTAATCTGTGTATTTAGATGTCTGCCAGGAGTTCAGTTTGAATGAATTAACAAACATCATCTGCAGCCAGGAAAAACATACCGAGCCTGCTTACCTTCTTCAAGGGGACGGTCTGAATCCACTCCATGGAATTGATGTCGTAGACGTCGACTGCGTTTTCACTGTAAACGGAGAGGTACGGGGCGTTGTAGCCTGCAAGTGAAGAGACGGCGAGAGAAAGGGCTGAGAAATGATACCAGTAATAGAGCCAGGAACATGCAATCTGCTCGTCTTCTATTGTGATATGACGGCTCAGCATTGTTTATGGATCGGGTATAGAGCGAAAGGAGGAAAGAGTTAGACCCCCCGTCAGGTGTTCATTGCGGTCTGCGTCCTCGCTGGGGAGAATCACGTACATGACCCACCGCACACCTGACCGACATATCCCTTATATGTAATCTTCGTGTAATAACTTGATGGGGCCGCATGGATACAACTAGAAGATAAGTCACCAGCATACTGTTGCATCTTCATCATAAAACACCTTTATTGATGGCATACAGTAAATCATATCACCAGTCTGGAGCCTCATTTGGAGACCATGCAGGTACTCTTCATGAGGCAGTGTGGTGAAGGGATCCGGTCTCAAAGCGTCACTACAATCTTGTGCTGATAATCTAACACAGGGGGGAAGCAAACTGCAATCCTCCAGTTGTGGTGCAACTACAAGTCCCATGAGGCAATGCAGGATTCTAACAGCCACAGGCATGACTCCCAGAGACAGATGCATGATTGGATTTGTAGTTTCTCCAAAGCTGGAGGGCCATAGTTTGTGTACCCAATTATAGATTATCATATCACAAGATGGTAGTGATGTTTTGAGACCACACAGGGTCCCTTCATCATCACATTGCTTGATGAAGGGAGCCTGCGTGGTCTCAAAACATTGCTACAATCTTGCGATGTGAGGATCTATAATGTCAGTGAGGTCGCATTCACACTGGCTGATCGGCAGAGCATTAGTCAACAGATCATTTCCTGATCGGAGCAGTAGGGATCGCGTGTAACCACCGTGACATCCGTGTCCGTACAGTTTTTTCCTCCATCGAAAACTGAAAGTGCCGGACCACATGTGTGTCTATGGGGAATCTGATGACCCTGGTCCGGCACGATGAGGTCAGTTGAAACGCATCAATGATCCGTCTGTTTAACTGGACCAAGCCAGAGCTAACCGAGTGTAAACCTGGCAGCCCATAGACTTCCATAGATGGTCCGATTGGGTCTGGCTGAAAAACTGGCAGGTGGACCTGATCGGACCGGTCATGTGAAAGGGGCTTTGTTTTTGATGAAGATACAATGTGTGCTGGTGACTTATCTTCTACCCGCTGGGGAGATTCCCTGCCTCTACATGGAGATGAGATGGGAAAAGCTCTGCAACAGGAACTCCGGCATCAATATAAACTTGGCAGAGAATTTAAAGTGATATTAAAGTCAAAAGGTTTTTAAGCTATAGCAAATGCGGATGAAATCCCTTACAATGGACGCTGCTCCTTGATGTTTAAAAGTTTTAGCTTTCTGCAGAATCAGCGGGTCCCCTGAGCACTGGCTCCTTTCCCTTGCAGGGTGCTATGGAGTCACCCCTGTGTGTGCTGGTAAGCGGTTCTCTCTACATAACACAGGCACAACAAGGCAAGACATTCTCCTGTTTGTCCCTTCCTTCTCCAAGCTAGTAGATGAACAGTTGCTGGAGTCTGCTCTGTCCCTTGTGATCTTGTACAGGACAGGAAGTTCAGGGAAGCTGAGCTGAGAGAGCTTGAGAGCTTTGCAGGGCATTGTGTATTTGTTTGATCTGGATTTATTATTTGGGGGAAAAAACTGAGATTTGGAGAGCTGAACACCCCCTTTAACACATCCCAAACCAGAGAATGTTTTTACTGCAATTTCACTCTGGCCAATCCAAGTTTTAAATAAAGTGGAAAAGAAAGTGTTTCTTTCAGGTTTTTTTTAAACTAGTGACAAACATAAAAGAAAAAATTGTGTAAAATTCCTGAGCAAACCAATAAAATTTTAGAAAGGGCACCACCTGCATTGGGAAACAAAATGTGACTTTGAACCACTAATAAGTAGCAATGAGGGAGGTAGAGTACATTTAAAGATAAAGAAGAATAACCCTTTAAAGCAGTGGTTCTCAACCTGTGTAACCTCAAGACCCACATTTGTCCTCGGTCATTAAGTCGTGACCCAAGTTGCACTGCAATGGAACGCAGTGCTGGGCTGCTGTGCTGTGACGGTGCTCCATCCATATGTGCATCCACTTGTACAGCTTCCTTGCATGCCCTGTAGAGGTTCCGGGAGGCAGATTATGATGTCACTCTGGTCCAGGCACCTCTATAGGGTACGCGAGTAGAGCTGCAGCTAACGATTATTTTCAAAATCGATTAGTTAGTCGATTATTAGGTTCGATTAATCGGTTAATCGGATAAACCATAAAATAGAGTTCAAAAAAAGGCTCCAGTGATGGGACTACTAGTTTGTATTGAGGTTGTAGTCCATCACAGGAGCAAGCTTGGAGCGGAGGAAATAAAAAAGAAAAAAGAAAGAAAGATAGTGTGGTGTGCAATATAGTGAGATGGAAAGTGTAAAATTATACAGCAATGAATGCAGAATACCACCAGCTATAGAGAAATACAACAAATCCCAGCAATAGTACATAATAGCTGGCGGCATTCTGCATTGCATGTATATAATGTACTATTGCTGGGTTTTGTAGTCATCTATAGCTAGAGCTGTAAGCAATGCAAGTATGGATGGAGCTACCTCGCGGCCATACCACCAGCTCACCCCACCTCAAGCTGACACTCGGCACCGGGCAGCATATTTTGAATCGCTACTTAGCGCGAGAACTGACAGTCCTGCACTAGGGGGAGGCTGAGGAACCTAGAAAAGTGGAAGGCACACGAGGACCCAGTTTTGGGTCACGGCCCACCAGTTGAGAACCAAGGCTTTATTATTTATTATTTAGTTGCTAACTAAATTCTCTGTTTACAACTTGCTGCAGCCGAGGGCTAGATTCCTCAGCTGGCAGGTGAATGTAAACAACAGGCAGTGGGCATGTGCAATAGCCAGCCTGCTATCGGCTGTGACAATCTGAAATAGCCAATAGCAGAATCTAGCCGGCAGATAAATGGGGAGGGGAAAGGGAAAGGGGTATTGCTTGACAGTTAATAGTAACTCTCAAGCAACCAGAAACTACAGTTATCTGGCATCTACCAATCCCTATGGGTGCTGGATAACTGGGAGTTTACTGTAGCTTACTGTACATTTAAACCCCACAGCTTATTTTCAGTGACCCCCAAATCAAGATCTCTGCAATTGAGTTGTCAGGTCTGCAGACCACGGAGACTGTTACGAGGAGCTCCTGCAATCTCTGATGGAGGAGGGGACATATACAATCCCCGGTGTGGGCAGAACCGGGAAGATGGCGGATGTCATCTGTGGAGACACCAATAGGAGGCAGCAGAGGAGTCGGCACACACAAGTCTTCACCTCCATTCATCACTTCTGAGTGCACTGATTCTTTACATTAAAAAAATTCTGATGCTTTATATGTTTCAGTGTTGGTTCAAAATATAAAATGCACAAAAATATGTACTAATTCTACAGACAGAACAAGCAAACGGGGTTACTCATTTTTCTATTATTACCTGAAAGAAATACATTTCAAGCTGAAATTTAATTGGCTTATATTTTGCCTTCCCTGGTTTCTCCGTCCCCCCCCGCCCCCCTCCATCATCACATGCTAATATCATAAAAAAATAAACCTGCTTTCATCACATACCCTATTTTAGGCCCATGATGTAATCACTGGGTCTCTGTGCAATGTAGGCAAGATCATAGCCGGTGAGAGGGGCTGGCAGAGTGCTCCTTAAAGGAGAATTATGAGGCGACTGATTGGCCTCATAATCTGAGCCGACCTGTGAATGAAACTGTCACAGGTCGGCTCACTAGATCGGGAAGTGAGCGAATGCATACCGGCGTTCTCTGACTTCTCAATCATCTCCCTGCAGGGAGCCATGACTGTCACTCTGAGTATAATGAGCTTTGGGTGACGGGAGGACGCTAGTTTGTGTCCTCCCGTGACCCTTAGGAGAACTATGGGGAAAAACACTGGCTCAATAGTTCTCCTTTAAAAACACCGCAGCACCCTGCCTTAGTACTCCTCTGAAGAGCCCTCAGCACTTATGCAAGCAAAGGATTGGTTCTTGGGAGGAGTTATGAAAAAAACAAAATGACGTGATGGGTGGATGTCAGTCTGGAGGAGTGGGCGCTCCATGGCAGGCTGCATTTGCATGCAGGCCATCCTAAGTAAAGTCTACATGTGATGCTGAGCCTCCATGACTAAAAGAGCTGAAATCCAATGAATGAAGGGGACAGGCCAGGGACAGTCAGGCTGAATGGGAAGGAGCTAGATGATGCTAGATGTTCCCCAGCCAGGTAATGAGGCCTGCTCTGAGTTGCTGCAACTTCTAAAGCACATTGTGAGAAGCTTGCAGTGTGCAGTGACATCTGAGGAAGCCATTCCAGTCCACGAGAGGAGCCGGTACAACTGTTTAGTTATAAATCTATGAGTCCTCAGTAGAATGAAAAGGCTGTCCACACTCTCATAAGCTGCATCATAAAGGAAACATAAAGAACAGAGTGAATGAGGAAAATGCAGCATTATGGCAACTGGTAGGAGCAGATGATCATGGGAAATAATTACATGTCAGTAAGGAGATACAATGTTACAATCAGACCCCTGGAGGGACTGAGCGTACAAATGCAACCAGGATAATATGGAGATGGCAATGGCACATTTTTATACTCAGGGGGTGTATTGTAACATTGTATCGTGTCATTTCATCCTATGATACTCGGCTCCACCTAGTGGCCATATTGCGGTATTGTCCTCATTGAGAACCATTGAAGGTCATTCTACCAGAAGAGAAATGAGTGTAAGAGCATTCATTGCTGCCCCATGCTCACAACAGCTGGTTAGCTCGCACAGAACGAGCGTACATACAGTGTCACTGGGCTCATTAGCTTGCTAAAGCCCCGTGTATCATAAACCATTGTTATTTATAATAAAAATAACAGTTGTCACCTTTCTTTTTTAATCCATTGTTAAATCTCAGTGCTGCAGTTTTTTTTGCAGTCACTTCCTGTCTCCAGTG